GTCACCCCGTTATCGTTAAGATCGAGCCTCAAGACCCACATCTCTGTACAAATTCCTTTCCTTCATTGAGGTTTCAATTTTATTTTTTATCGTATTAGGGTTCTTAATCTCCCCGTCCCCAATTCACCAAAACCAGAGATATCGCCTTGATTCATTCGCTTCCATAACCGGAAAGGCACCGGTGAAGGAAATAACGGTGAAAGTCGATGCCGCCACCAGCCGAGCAGGTGGCAAGGCCAGCCAAGTGGAGAGTTTCTGAACATAGTGATGATTCTTAATCGAAGAAGAGAGGCCCGGAATATCATGACTTAGAAACTCTCTAAACTCAATTAGATGAGTGAAAGAAATTAAAGCAGAGAAAACGCACAAGCAAGGCAAGCACAAGTAGTCTCTCCAAAAGTCAGTCTAAAGTTATGGAATAAATTATAACCCTGTTCCCCTATCGAACTGTGTTTTAGATATGTTTTCCAGAAACATCGCACACTTCTGTTCGGTTTCTGTTTACTGGAGATCGTTAGGTTCAAATATATTTTCTGATTTCTTCCCTAATTTGTCTTCTAATTTGTCTTTTAAGTGGGGATAGTAGGAGGACATGATACTAGTAAAGGAGGGCTCAAACACAAATTGTGTTTGTTTAGAGTGCTTTTAGTAAAGTTTTTGTTTCTTGTTTTTGCAATTTCAAGAAAGTAGAAATATAATTTTATTTTCTTGAGTGATAATAAAAATGATGTTTATTAATAATTATTGTTGTCACAATTTAGAAAGTAAAAAAATAATAGTTATGTTTAATAATATATATTTATTACCGATGTACCTAATATTTTTTAATTATTTTATTTTAATTTTAATTTTTTTCATTAATATAAAAAAACCTTAAATATATATGTAATTCAATTATTTTACAAATATTAGAAAGACCCAATACAAGATAATAAAATATAATATTCAATTTAAAACTACAAATTTTAATAATATCGTACAAAATAACGTATATTAGGACAAAAATATTTGCAACAATTATGTGTATAAGTGCATGTATATGCATCATCTATACATTTATTATTAAATATATAATATATTTAACATATATTATATTATAATAAATATTAAATAATATAACTATAATATAATATAGATATAGATATGGTATATAATAATATATTATACATGTTGCATAATAATTTAATAATATTATATAAAATATATAATAAATCTTTATTTTTTGTCCCAAAAATAATTGACACTCGTCTAGATGAAGTTCTGACCATAGAAAAAAGAATGAATGGATTTTGTAGGATTCTCAAGAAATTGTTTGATTTCTTTCGAAAGCTGCTTTTCACGTTCCGTGAAGAGCCGGGACATTGAGAAATATTCAGAAAAGTATTTCGGGAATCGGTCTGATTCTATCTCTGTTCATTTCGTTTGAAGAAAGGAAGGATCTCAAAGAATTGATCTTTCTTTTAGTTGTTAAATCTCTCTCTGATTGATCAATGTGTAGTATTTCGAATCCTCATTACTAAATGGAATCCAAATGATCTCTGGATTGATCAGAAGATCCTTTAAATTGGTTAGAATCCGTTACTTGAACGAAACTAGATCTTATGGAATCATATTGAATATTTGACGATACATTTCGTATCTTGCTAAAAAACAAACCCTTGTTTACCAACCACATATTGTATAACCAAATCCAATTATCTCTCGATACGTTCCTCACAAAATTTGATTCGTGCGGATAATTACTCAGTGGACAACGATCCAATTAATTTTGCATACATACTTATCATTATGCCATAGTCCTCAAAATTTTCAAATCTTCCAACTCATCTCAGTCAATCAAAAAATAGAACGAGATATCAAGTTTATACTCCCACAGAATAAATGTAAGTATGCTCATGTGCAAAGTGAAGCACTCTAGAAATCAGAAATCATAAAAATATGAAAAGACTAATAATGTGGACCACATATGCCGACACAATTTCAAAAAAATTTAATGTATCCCCAAAATAACATTAATTCCACATACATGATGTATTAATCCATTAAAAACTACTTTGGGACACCAAACTAGCTTCATAGGTATAAAATCATTGCTAACAACACATGCTCTTAATTCTACCATTCAGAAATTGCAATTTTTTTCAAAAAGTATGGAATTAATCAACAAACTTGCAATTATATTGCCTTATCTCCAAACTTGAATTGCACATTATCCTCAATGTGCAATAAGAACAAAAATATAAGAAGAGTTAGAACAATATTACTACAGAAGTGATGAATGTCAAAATCAAACTGTCCAAAGCATAGGCAATTGTCAAGTACGGTGGTACGCCCAAACCTTAATACAAAAACCTGTCAATGAAAGCAACTAAACATCACCTCATGAGAATGAACAAGTCACCAAAGAATATAAAGTAATAAATACACTCTCACTATCGCACACATTTAGAGTAAAGAGTCATGATAAAAAAAAAAATAGAAAATAACTACAAAAAAATAAAAATAAAGTAAAAATAAATTTTAATTTAAAAATTAATAATATTAAAATTAAAAACCTTTTTTTTTTTTTTTTGAAAACCTATGAAATCTACAATTACAAATAAGACATAATGTGTCACATGGGTGCTAAGTTTAACGTCTCTAGCAAGACGAAATGTCACCCTCTAGCCCGTATCTAACAACTCGACTACCTCCTTCATCTCGTGCACCTAAATTCTTGCACTTGAAAAAAAAAAAAAATCAATAAAAAATTATATACAAGACCTAAACTAACAATCAAAGTAGAACTAATCTTTAACCTAACAATAATCGTTACATAGTCCCCGGCAACAACGCCAAAAATTGATATGTGTATTTTTCAATGATAAAATCACTCGCAATAGAACGAATCTTTGTAGGATAGTTCTATGTTGAGGGTGTCGAACCCCAAGGATTATGGTGGACTGTAAAGTATAAAATTAATCCTAATTTAACTCAAGGGAAGAATGATTTTGTTGTTTGATTAAGTCTAAACTGCATTAAAAAAATAAAATAAAATAAGTAAACTAAATTATCAAGTATTAAGATCAAGGAAAGAAAGAACTTAGGGATTGACTTCGCCGCTAGCCTCGTAACATGGTCAATTGCTTCAACTATGGGAAAATTCACGGATATGCATATTCGGGAATCAAATGGTATAAGCACACTTTATTTCAATTAAGAAGATATATATGAATAAACATGCCATAACTCATTTTTAGTTAGCACGAATTGTCTATCTAACTACTCCAATTTATCATAACTCATTCACATAGTTGTTTAAGCATTATTGAATGATAACCATTTCTATCATTAAGAGAAGCCCTTAGCCGCCTATCTCTCACAATAGAAGGGTTTGAATTTAATTAAAATAAGATTAATTCTAAGACAAGAGATTAATTTCATCAAAACTGATTATAATCATTAAAACCCAATTGCTTAGTACAACTAAATCAATTGCTCAAAACCATGCAAACAATATACATATAAAAATCCCTGAAGTCAAGAATAATCAAACCATGATACTCGGACTAGGGCTACATCAATGCCTTAAGATGGAATTTAACTACTCATGTAGAGGAAATATTTCATCATTGTTAGTGTAGAAGCCATCTCCATGGACCGCCAATTGGAATCTTCAAAACCTTAAAAGTAGCCACAAGGTAGGAGAACCAAGAGAGAGAAGAGTTAGAGCATCAATGTGTCTTCTTATCTTCTTTTATAGTAAAGAACAAGCCCTAATCCTTCTTGGATGGACTTTACAGCTTTTGGAGTCATCGGGCCCGTCTAAAACAAAAAAGGAGTGTTTCCTGCATGTGTTTTTAATTACCAGAGTGACAGTGCTCAAGCACTGTCTTAACACTTAGTTTTTTTTATTTATTTTTATTTTTTAGCCAATTTTTCCGAAGCGTCTTTTCTTCTATACTTAGTTTGTAACGCTATTTTGACAAATTTGGAATACGAATCTCGAAATTACTATTAGACACAAAAATGTCAAGCTTCGAGTCTTTTTTCCATAACCATTGAGTTTGCCCAATTTTGAATTTTGAGTAATAAGTTATATCCAAAATACTGAAGAAGGTACATAATTTTTCATCAATGCTCGAGCCCTATTTAGTGTGCTCGAGCCCTAAAGCCTGAAACTTCACCAAATCTTTTCGGTTAAGTCCCGAGTTTACCGAGAAGGCCCCACACATCTCTTCAAGCACCGGGAACAGCTCAATAATCTCTAAATACATGGAATTGACCGTCTCTTTGGATAAAAACCTACGAAAAGCAAATAAATAATAATAAATATAAGAACCAGATAAAAGTATCACTAAGGCATTAACATATGCACGTTTAAGGGTTCATCACTTATTAGTTGTGCAAAATAAATAGCAATTTTACACATTGATGAGGTAACAATGTATCTTAGCACACTGGTAGAGTTCAAAAAAATTGAACAATACTTAGGTCCTTACAGTGAGGATCTACATCATTTCACTATTACGAGGACCAATAATAAATGAACACGTTATCTTTAATTATCAAATCAAAGATGGTAGAGTAGATACTCATTTACCAAATTAGAGATGGAAAATTAAATACCATTTATGATTTGATAATTAAAATAGGACTTGTTCATTTATTATTGGTCTATAGTAGGGTTGTGTGTTGTAGATCCTCACTGAAGATCTAAGTATTGTCCAAAAAAAATTTACACATTGTGTATATTTTATGCAAAAAGATCTTTTAACACACTGTTGGAGATACGCTTATGTAATAACCTTAGTTGTTTTTTTTTATTTTTATTTTTATGCTAGTCAGTTTAAATCGTGATATTAATGTTGTCAATTATATCATTTTTCAAAAATAATTATTTTCCTAATTTTACAATATTTAGATGACTAACTTCAAAAAAAAAAAAAAAAGGGTACCTTTTGCAGTTTTTGTGCCACGCGTCATGAATTGTCCGCGAGCCAAAGACCTCTTGATATCTGCCACCGACAGTTGAATTTCGGGGGCAGCGGTGGGTAAAATGTTACGTTTTTTGCTCCAGAGCCAAGCTATCGACCAATCGAACTCAAACCAACAAAACTTTGAACTTTAGTTGATCAAATTCATTCCTCCTCCTCCTCCTCCTCCTCCTCCACCACCATCCTCCATCATTGCCGCACCCTAATTTTCTTATCCTCTGCTTTTCTCCCTCTCTGCTGGACATTCGCAATCAGGTTAGGGTTTTTTTTTTTCCTGAATCGAAGGTATTATATAATCCAAACGTTGCATCGGTTCTTAATTCTCTATATTATCATCTCAAAGGAGTCTTGTGGTTCTTCCCCGCTGAGCCTTTCACGGTAAAAGTTGCCTCTAGATCCTTTTCTTTTTCAATTTTTACTGTTATAAATTTACAACATTAGCCTTTTCAATTGGATGATGCTCAACACTTCTGCTTCTGCATAGATTCGAGCAATTATATGTTATTAGATCATAACTGATACCTGGAATATCAGGAACTTATCTGATCAATAAATTACTTTTTTGCTTTATTATTTGGCAATTATGAACTATTTTTCCTTCCTTCCCTTGCTAATTGACCTACATAAAGTTATGTACGGTAGCATGGAATAGGTGTCTTGGAATTGGAATGGAATGAAAAGTAGTTTGGAGTTTTATCAAAATTTCCTGCAATTCCATTACCAAATCATCTAATCCATGCATCCAGAACTCAACGGAGGTATATTTTTTTACATTTGATGTAGTGCTGAGATTTGCTGATAGCCAATAACTGTTTCTTTTTTGAGTATCACAATTACTTATATTCATTTGAAAATTTATTTAGCGTATTCTGTCATTTTATCATTAGTAATTAAAGTTTCCTGCAGCATGTTTTAATCTTGAAAGATGATATGGTCTTGATATAGTAGAAACCTGAAACATGATTCATTTAGTTGATCCCAAGTAGTTGGGAAGTGGCTCTGTTTAGTTAATTGAGTTCCAACACTTTCTCCCCTCTCATTTTTTTTTTTTTTTTTTTCTTTTTTCTTGTTTTTTGGCTGAGAAATTTCACTAACAAACCCCCCTCCCCTTCCCCCACCCCTCTCTCTCCCCCCCTCAAAGGCATATGGATTCTTATAACTGAGAAATTGAAGTAAGCATTTTGCAGGTAAGACACTTTCACACTGTGATGTTCTCAGCATTGGAAGCAAATGTTTGCTTGAAGTGGATCCTTTTGCCTCATTGATGGGTGCAGGAGAACTTTTGGTCTTTCAAGCAGCATTTTCTTTAATCAATTATTTTGTGAGAATCAGTGACTTTGCAAGGACAGCATCCTCACATTCTATCCACACTTAAGGCTACGCATTTTTGATCCATGGGGGAATGGGTTATTGGAGCCTTCATCAACATTTTTGGCAGTGTTGCCATCAACTTTGGTACCAACCTTCTTAAATTGGGTCATGATGAGGTAATTTTTAACACTTTTTAATATATATATATATAAATATATATATATATATATATATATTTAATTATTGGGTTTAAGTACCCAGAACTTTGTGCTGAACAACATAATAAAAAGTTGTGTCCCTTGCAATAGAGCTTCCTAGAAAATTTCTCTCTTCCAAGAAAGCTGCAAAATATTATTCCTATCTATTGTCTTGGTATTTGCTAGCTCAGTGTTTGCTCCGTTTGGATACAAATGATGATTTCACTTTGTTTCGTTCGGCGTTTCAGGCAAAATGATCTAGTACTTATTTTTCTATTTTGCATGCAAGTTCATCATTGAAAATGTGATCATGCAAGAAATGGCCGCAACATAATCATTGGTGATAAGTTTGAAAAGCCAACAAATCATGAGAACTTGTAACTGATTCTTTGCACCACTTGTGGTTACTGTTTACTTTGATGGCTTTCATCATCAATGATGGGACACTACCTGGCATATAGTAGTCAACTAAACTCAAAAATGAGGAACTACCTGGCATATAGTAGTCAACTAAACTCAAAACCACTTTTGTTCTAATTGGTCCAGGTTAGTTACATTAATAATGCTTCTGTTATGCTCTATCTTAAGCCATTCTCTCTCTCTCTCTCTCTCTCTCTATATATATATATATATATATAATTATTTATAGGTCATCACGTTTTCTACCCTCCTTTATTTTGGTCTCATTTCTTTTATACCTCAATAAACAAATTTTTAATTTTATTTTGGTTGTTCTTTTATCTGTCGACAACTACAACGTCAACTTCCATGCCACTGTTTGCATTAGTACAACTTTCTATCTTTATTGCCTTTGGTCCCTGGGTTTTTGAGATCCCAATATGACTCTTATGATCCCATGATCTTATGATTTGACAATCTTACTATCTACAAATACTAGATTGATCTTGAACCCTACAACATCCTAGAAGTGTAAAATCCTCGTGAAATTTCTATAATTTCATAAAATTTATGGATCACGAGGCGACTTTTGATTCTAGTGATGCTGCTATACAACCTTATAATGTTTTCTTGTTCCTTTTTGGTAAGTTAGGACTCAAGGCATAAATGTTTTTTTGTTCCTTTCATCTCCTTTCGACTAATACTGCTATAGACAAGTCATTTGCTTTATAAACTTATTAGTTCATTCAATTCTTAATTCGACTAGTTTGAGTTTGACCTTTTTTTTCCTTATTTTATTTATTTATTGGGTGAATTGCAAAAAAAAAAAAAAAAAAAAAAAAACAACCATGTAGTTTGGAAAGGTTTCAAAAAACCCCCTTGATGTTCAAATTCCACCCTTGTAGTATATAAAGTGTGCAAATAAGGGCTTCTGACATGAAAAAGTGCATTGTAGAGGCCATGTGCAAGTCATGTGACCTAAAAACCCTATTTAATACCAAATCTACCCTTTGTGTGTTCCCAAACTGCCCCTCCCTCATTTATATATATTATACCCTCTATTTCTATTATTTATCTCTCTCTATATTTTATATATTTAGCAATTGTTGATGCATGATGTGCCTAAATTGATCCAGTAAAATGTTGTTTTATATATTTAGCAACTGTTCAAGCAAGTCATGCATTTGAATCTTTGTAATATAAAGGGTTGCGAGCGAAAAACACCCCTATAGTATGCATATAGGGTGTATAACCCCCCTTATACGTTCTAAAAGATCCTTTAACATTTAATTTTGGAGCAAACAAGACCTGAATGTTGAAAAGACTAAGTGTCCCTCTATAACTCAATAGAAAATAGGTAAAAAAAACTAATTAAATGTGAAATAACTAAATTGTCCCTCTTTTTATATATATAATATAAGGTTGTGGGCAAAAAACACCCTTATGGTATGCATATAGAGTATATAACCCCTATACGTTCTAAATCTCCTTAACATTCAATTTTGGTGCAAATAAGGATCTGAATGCTAAAAAGACTAAACTATCCCTCTACAACAGAATGATCTTTAAGGACCTATAAAGGACGTGTACAAGAGGGTTCAAGGGTCCAAGCATTGATTTGACATTTGTTAGATGATGCAGGGCTTGCTTGGAGCCTTGCTTAATTGGGCTTAGTCAGCTGGATAATTTATGGGTTCTTCTGTGCGGGCTGTTATAATTGTTAGCCTGAGAGTCTTTTATGTATTTTTATATGATGGGTCACAAATATTAAAATTCCATAAGTCACGATTGACAGTAAAAATTTATGAATTTATACTTAAAGAGATTTTTTAGCCTTATGGTTACCTCCATTATGATGTGATATTATGAGTCACATGGTTATACAGGAATTACTATTCTTGTAAGTTTAAGAAGTCATATGGTTATAAGTAGGAACTACTATATAAAAGGGTTGCAATATTTGTTTTTACTAATGTTAGAATGAGTGATTAAATCTTGCACAATTTTGTTGCGGGTGATTCAAAAACTTCTAATGGTACATTTAGATAAATCAATGTTTTGAAATGAAAGGATTTGAGTTTGAATAAAGATTGGCTATTGAACTTGGATTTGGGAGCCATGAGAATGTTAGTTTAGGGAATACATATTTTTTTACGATACTTGTACTATAGAATCGTATCAACATGGATTTGCCATTGACGTGTTATTTGGACATTTCATTATTCATTTGTTTTCTTGGTTCTAATGTGCATGTCTTTGATATAAGTTGTTCTTTTTACTCTGTTACATTTGTTACTCTTGGACATTTGACAAATATTCCGACTAAAATAAATTCGTAGCTAAAAGATGTACGAGTTAAAGTCTTAATGTCAAGGGAGATCTTGACTCGGGTTTCCACTTGAATTTTGTTCTTATCTCAAGTCTGTTGAATTCTCTTCAAATTTTCAAATTTACAATATATGCCTTGTTTGAATTTCGGTTCTTGTTGGGGACCTTGTGATCATCCTCATGGTGCTTAGTTTGAATAGGAAATGTTTCATAGTCTTTATAGCTCCCTTTCTGCAGTATTCTATCACTGGCTTTATGTTTATAATATGGCATAATGAACTGGGAGGTTAAATTTTTTTTACTGTGGTTGCGTTAATTTTTTGGCTCCACTTCCTATTGCATTTATGATGAGTGACTGAATTAATTGCAGAGAGAAAGAGCTATGGTCGGCAGTGATGTGACAAATGGAAAAATTGTAATGAAGCCCATCATGTACTTCCAGGCTTGGAGAGTTGGTGAGAAGTTTAGTTTTTGGTTCTTGTTTTTTTACAACTGTTCTGCTTATTGTACCACATATAGTGTAACTTGAATGCATACTTCTTGGCATGCAGGTATTCTAGTTTTTGCTCTTGGAAATTGTCTTAATTTCATTTCCTTTGGATATGCTGCTCAGGTCTGTATGACATGTAATATTGTCTCCTTTCACTTAATAGATGGGGTTGATACTAGAACTTCATGTATTTACGCAGTTTGGTGACTGCTACACGCGCTGTTGAGTTAGATAACAAATTTTACCTTGGTATCATTATACTTTTGGTATCATTATACTTTGGTCCTTTTATTCATTTTTGTCCTCTCGTGTTTTGCAGTCACTTCTTGCAGCCCTCGGATCTATACAATTTGTATCCAACATCGCATTTGCATACTTTGTTTTAAGCAAAACGGTGACTGTCAGGTAGGTTAGAATCTGTAGAGAGAGCATGCTTTAGAATATTAGTGAATCAATATTATTTTCTTTTTTTCTTTTTCCTGCATTTTAATATACATAAATGTTTCTTCCTTTGCAGAGTATTGGTTGCCACAGCCTTTATTGTTCTTGGAAACATTTTTCTTGTAGCTTTTGGCAACCACCAGTCACCTGGTAAATCACTTCTGAGAACAATGTAGTTTAATTTCTTCAGGATGATGACTTGTGCTAGCCATTACTTTCTTGTCCATATTCTTGGTTAAAGAGTTAAGGTCTTAAAAGTTGATGTTGCAAGAAGTGTGGCACAAACAAGATATGGGTATGTTTTGGACCTGACAGCATGGACACAGATTTAGGGCATTGACACATCATAGACACTTTACACAACAATTCTTAAAAATCACGTCCAATTGCTATGATTGGATGAAATTTATAATGTTCAAATGATATAATCATAATCACCTTTTTCATATAAATAAAGTCATAATGATACGTATATGTGAATTTGTACATGTATGTAGATATGTATATGCACATGTACACAATTTGATGACTATATGTCCTCTACAGCGTTTACTCTTTAAATCAAGCCTTGCTACATCTTGTGTTCTTTAGTATAGTCAGACTTTGTTGTAAATATATATATATATATATATCAGACTTTTCACACGTTTTATATTAACCTATAATTTGATTTTTCCTTGCAATTAATCTTCTTTTCTGCCATGCTAAAAAGTTTTATATCCAAATTAGAAGGTTGCAATTAATCTTCTTTTCATGTTCTTGAGTGTTGGCCATGTGTTCGAAATTAAGAAAGACGTGCAAAATGTGATGATGTGTCCTCGAGTCTGTTTATAGTCACCACTCTTGTTATATTCAACAATGTTGAAACTTCTAGGAAAAACTTCGAACTGGGAGAGCGACCCTATCTTTCAGTATACTGGCCGTTTTCTTCTTAATGGCTGCCTGCCATCTTCCTTGTCACCTTCCTTTGGCTTGGCTTGGCTTTTACACCTTCAATGTTTTTAATGCTTGTGTGGTATGAAGGATGGAGAAGTGAATGGATAGGAGGGTAGGAAAGATGGATGAGGAATTCTTAGGGATGGGAAGGTGTCCTTTCTTTTTGTTTGGTGAAATGTAAGGGAGTATAAGGTGGTGACACCTTTCATTCTTTGGAGAAAGGGAAGGAAAGGAGAGGTTTCATATTTTATTTTACCATTATACTTATATAATATAATTTGGCAAAAATAGATGAAGGGTAATATTGTCACTTGACATAATATACAATGCCTTATCCGTCTCTTCCTCTACTCTTACATCCATATATATATGTATTTTTGGGTTAGGTAAGTACTCGCACACACATTTCACAGATTTCCTACATCCAATTTTGGGGGGATGACAAATTGAAGACTAGGTAGTATGTCTCATGCATCAATCCTTCCCTTCCCTCAAGTTCGCCCTTGTACCAAACAGTTGTGACTTGCTCCATCCCTCCTTCCTTCTCTCCTACCAATTAAATGTGTCTGACATGGATACAACTTATTGGTGTCCACGTTCCTTAACTTCTGAAAAAAATTACTAGGAGCTTTTTCTATAAGTTTTATCTATCAATATACAGATATGAAATATTAAAGGAAAATGTGTATTCAATAATTCTTTTCTAAAGTTCTATGGAACAGAACAATCAAGTAGTGTTGCTACCAAAACCTTCCGAAGTATCATGATAGCCATGTTCTGTACCAGCAACCAGACATTACAGGCCTATAATGTGAACTCGTAGAGTCATGCAGTGTGAGACACATGTTAAAGTATGTTTACATTTTACTTTTGGTACTGTTCTCCATGCCATTTCTATATATATATATATCTATATATATATTTAAAAAAGGAGCAGAATGGAAACATGGGGTTCACCTCCGCCCCCCCCCCCCCCCCCCCCCCCCCCCCCCCCCCCCCCAAGTTAATGGAAACATGGGATTATGTAGCCAACCCCAAGTAATTGGGAAAAGGCTTGGTTGTTAGACACTTGGAGTATTGCTTCCATTGTACACCTGTATTATAATATTTTTATTCTTATTGGGAAAGTTCGTACCTAAAAAAAACATATCAGATTTATTATTTTTCTCTTACATAACAAAAATGAACTACTCTTCCAGTTGACGGATCAGCCTTTGTTTTTCAATATATGATGTAACCAATGCAGAGTCTGTGTCAACTTACGTAGAGCCATAAACTAATTGTTGAATGCAATACACTGTACACATGATCAGATCTCTTTCCATCAGTATCTGGGACTGGTTCTTCCCAATATGTTATCTTTTCACGAAATGGCCTGCTTCTTGTTTCTACTTGTGGTCAAAGAATGATTGATAACTTCTCTTATATTAATCAGGGTTCCACATGAATGATCTCTTAAATATTGCATAGTTCTTCTTATCCCACTCCCCAAACAAATGTATTTAGGTTAGTGGCACATGCACCATAGGCTGTGTCCTTGTCATGGTTTGTATATAATGTCCACGGGCACTTGCACCCAGCATCGCATGCTCAATTGAGCAATAGAGGTTCTCTTGGCGAACAAGTATGGCTGTTTTCCAGGTCAAGTGATGACGTTTTTCTGCTCCCTTTTTTGCTTCACAGTTTACACACCAGAGCAGTTGGCAGAGAAGTACAGCAACATTACGTTCCTTCTTTACTGTCTGATTTTGGTCTTAGTTGTTGCCTTGCATCACTCCATATACAGGTAAAGACTACTGCATCTGACCTTTACAGGGTAAGATCAAGGATTCGAGCTGGGCATATGCTTTTGTGGGAGCTAACTGATTTTGTTGTTCTAGTTTCTATTCCTTCTTTTATTTGATAAAATGACTAAGCCTCCATCTTGATTCTTGTTACAATAGATATGTGGAATATGCAGGAGAGGAGAATTGCTGCTTGCAGTTCCTGGACATGACCTCAAGTCTTATTGGCACATGCTGCTTCCTTTTTCCTATGCCATAGTTTCGGGTGCTGTAGGATCCTGCTCGGTTTTGTTTGCAAAATCTCTGTAAGTAAGCTGCCTTAGTTTACATTGCTTCTTGGGTGATAAAGTTTACAATTGCCATTGTTTCTGACGTGCAATATCCTTTTTTTTGCAGCTCTATCCTACTAAGATTGTCCATGTCTAACGGTTATCGGTTGCATAGCTGGTTCACTTACTCCATGCTTTTACTGTTTCTTAGTACGGCTGGTTTTTGGGTAAAGATCATTCATGATTGCATGCATAACTCATATTTTTCTGTTTCTGAATGTTTTGTTATAATATTTCAACGCCGCAACTACATGGGGATGGTATACAGGGAAAAAATAAATAAATAAACTACCTGGGGATGGTGCCAAATTTTGATTTTTATTGTCAATTTGCTACTGCTGCAGATGGCAAGGTTGAATGAAGGATTGTCATTGTTTGATGCAATGCTAATCGTTCCTATGCTTCAGATTGCTTGGACTTTCTTTTCAATTTGTACAGGATTTGTGTACTTTCAGGAGTATCAGGTTATCTCTCTCTCTCTCTCTCTCTTTTGTGTTTTCTGTTGGATCCAATCTACAACTTGAAGACAAAAAAAAACTGCAACAACATAGGCCATAGGGTCAGATAGACTGAGGGATTAAAAACAAGAAGAACAAGGAGGGAGAAAAGTCAGAGGGGGAGTTCGCAAACTCACGGTAATATTCAATATTCCAAAACTAAATGCTTTGTTTACAAAGAATCCTTTATATAGGCAAAACATTAAGCAGACCCTAATATATGAAAATACTAAAATAACCCTAAAAATAGAACATTGCCAAAACAACAAGGAACATAATAATGTAGCCCTAAATTACAAAAATTCCTAATTCTATTTCTCTTTTCCTCTTCTCCAAAAGTAATGTTGGAACACGCGCAACTCGTGTATGAATCACAGCCCATTCCCCATCAATTCTCCTCGGCTAAGAAGAACTCTTCTCCGGAGGGTAAAGTTAATAATACTGCTCTGAAAAGTTTGGAACAACATGGCAAAACTCGTCTGTACTCCTTGTGACATCTAAAGCTGAATAATATGTCCATCGTGAATCACTCTAATAGTTAATAATATCTTTAATCCAATTCAAATGCCTTGGTTGACATGATGGGAGGACAAATGCTGTTGCTGAAGAAAATTTAATTTCACTTTTAGGAACACAAGCTAACAACACAAGAGGCTCAAAGGTACCTAGGTTAGGCATCGAATACTCCACATGAAAAATTGGACTAATACCATTATCTGATGGCAAGTCAAGTAAATGTGCATAAGGTCCGAAGTTATGAGTGATGTGGAAATATCGAGTGACTTGGGCTTGCAAAGTCTCAAATGAGTTATAAGATTGTGGTGATGGACAAATTGGAACATAATCTCCTTTAATGAATTTTTGATTCTTAATATGAGCATATGCAATAAATTCATAATTTTTATTACTCAAAACAATTTGTCGTCGCGTATCGGCATGAAACTCATGGACAAGTTGGATAAACGAATCAACAAATTCAAACATATGAAAATATGGAGCCATAGGTATAAGGTTGATGGACCGATGAGGAATAAAATCACATATAATCTCAATAGGATAGCTATTAGTTGACCAATCGATCAAATTATAATATACATACTCCATAAGAGGCAACAATGAGAAGTCGCTAAATGCCTCATTCATTGCCCTTATCCCTAAGAAGGGAGGTGCTTCTGATAGTAAAGACTTCAGACCTATCAGCTTAGTGGGTTGTATCTACAAGCTCATGACTAAGGTTCTTGCTCTTAGGATGAGGGAAGTGATGGATGGGATTATATTGGATTCCCAGAATGCTTTTGGCGGAGGACGGCAAATTCTTGATTTAGTTCTTATTGCAGGCGAATGTGTGGACTCTAGATTGAGAAGTGGTGTTCCTGGAGTCTTATGCAAACTTGACATAGATTAAGCATTTGATCATGTGAATTGGAATTTCCTGCTTTATTTGCTACAGAGAATGGGGTTTGGAAGTAAATGGAGGAAATGGATTAAGACTTGTCTCTCATCTGTCAAGTTTTCTATTCTTGTGAATGGGTCTCTTGCTGGCTTCTTTGGGTGTACTCGAGGATTAAGACAAGGAGATCCCCTGTCGTCTTTCCTTTTTCTTATTGTCATGGAGGGCTTAAGCAAACTTATGCGCAAAGCAGCGGATCTCGATCTTATTAAGGGATTTATGGTGGGAAGAGATCCTGCCCATTAGATGGAGATCTCTCATTTACTTTTTGCGGATGACACCCTGGTTTTTTGTGGTGATGTTGTGTCTCAACTTAGATATTTGGGGTGCATTTTGGCCTGTTTTCAGGCTGTTTTTGGTCTGAAGGTCAATGTGGCTAAAAGCATGCTTGTTCCGGTTGGGGATGTTCAAGATATCTCTTCTTTAGCTATAGTCCTTGGGTGTAGGGTGAGTTCTTTTCCTATTCAGTATTTGGGTTTGCCTTTAGGGGTTTCCTCTAGAACTGTGGGAAGTTGGGACCTGTGATTGATAGATATGCGAAAAGATTGGCAGAATGGAAAAAGGCAATATTTGTCTAAGAGAGAGGGGGGGGGGGGGGGGGGGGGGGGGTTATCGAGCCTTCCCACATATTTTTTTATCTATGTTCCAAATTCCATACTCGGTTGGTGATAGGATTGAAAAAATTCAAAGGGATTTCCTTTGGGGCGGAAGGGGAGAAGAGTTTAAGTATTATCTTGTCAATTGGGAACAAGTTTGCAAGCCTTTGAAGTTTGGTGGTCTTGGTATCAGAAGACTGGTTCCCTTTAATCAAGCTTTCTTGGGTAAATGGCTGTGGAGGTACGGGAAGGAAAGACATTGCCTATGGCGAAGGCTTGTATCACGTCGGTATGGGGAAGAGAGTGGAGGTTGGTCTACTTGTCCGGTTTATCTCGTGGGAGGAGTAGGGGCGTGAAAATCCATTTGGAAGGGATGGGATGCTTTCTCTTCTCACATCAGATTCAGAGTTCGTGATGGCAGATGTGTTCACTTTTGGGAGGATCTTTGGTGTGGTGACCGGCCTTTATCTAGTTCATTTCCCAGTTTATACAGTATTGCAGTTGATAGAAATGCCTACGTAGCCGACTGTTATCGGCTTGATGGTAGTGGGGTTATGTTGGATGTGCACTTTTGACGTTCTTTTCAGGATTATGAGTTGGACGAGTTATGTGTTTTTCTGGATTTGCTGTATCGACAGGAGACAGTTGGCAGAGGAAGTGATGATCTGACATGGATTCCCTCCTCCCATGGTCGCTTTGAAGTTCGATCCTTATTCTTATGTCTTTCTAATTTTGATATCGTTGATTTTTCGTGGAATACCATTTGGCGCTCTATGGCTCCAACTAGGGTGGCATTATTTGTATAGACCGCTGTATGGGGTAAGATCCTGACGATTGATAATCTAAGGAAAAGAGGCAACTGTTTAGTTAACTGGTGTTGCCTATGCAAACAAGATGGTGAGTCAGTTGATCATATTCTCATGCATTATCCTGTGGCGAGAGACTGTTGGAATCTTATTTTTGGCCTGTTTGGTATGCGTCGGGTTATACCTCGTTATCCTAAGGATTTGATTCATGTTTGGAAAGGATGCCGGGTGAGAAGTGATGTTCACGATTATTGGGTAGTTGTACCATATTATGTTTGGTGGTGCTCATGGAAGGAGAGGAATAGTAGATGTTCGAAGGGAAAGAGTTGTCTACGGTGATTTTGAAACTTTACATATGTTCGCTCTCTTTTCAGTCACGTGAAGAGGAAGTCATGTTCCTCTTCAGATGATTTAATCATTTTTTTGGATTCTTTGGGGCCTTAAAACCCCGATTCCACTTTTGTATAAGGGAATTTCCTGTTTTATCTATTGGAAAGGATGGGTTTTGGTGCGAAATGGAGGAAATGGATTACTACATGTGTTTCCACTGGCAGATTTTCGATTTTGGTTAATGGGTCTCCTACGGGATTCTTTGGTAGTTCTCGAGGTCTGAGGCAGGGGGACCCTCTTTCCCCATTTTTGTTTATTATTGTTATGGAGGCCCTTAGTAGGCTGATGAGAAGGGCTGTGGATTTGGGGTTTATTAGGGGTTTCAAGCTCGGCCCTGAATCGGTTCAGCAGATGAAGATTTCTCACCTTCTTTTTGCGGATGATACTATCGTTTTCTGTGAGGCAGAGGTGTCCCAGTTGCAGTATTTGAGATGTGTTTTGGTTTGTTTTCAGGCCGTCTCTGGTCTGAAAGTCAATGTGGGTAAAAGTGTGCTTGTCCCTGTGGGGGAGGTGTAGGATGTGGATTCTCTGGTTGCTGCTTTAGGCTGTGGGACGCAACGCTTCCCTATTTCTTATTTGGGTCTACCGTTGGGGGACTCGGCAAGGAGGGTGGGAAGTTGGGACCCGGTAATTGAGCGGGTCGAGAGAAGATTGGCTAGTTGGAAAAAGCAATATCTCTCCAAGGGTGGAAAAGTCACGTTAGTGAAGAGTGTTTTGTCAAGCCTTCCAACACACTTTCTCTCGCTTTTTAGGATTCCAGCCTCTATTGTGGAAAGACTGGAGATGCTCCAACGGAATTTCCTTTGGGGGGGTCGTGGGGAGGAGTTTAAATATCATCTTGTCAAATGGGATCAGGTTTGCAAGCCTCTTCAGCTTGGTGGTCTCGGAATTAGAAGACTGGCCCTTTCAATAATGCTCTTCTAGGCAAGTGGCTTTAGAGATTCGGTAGTGAAAGACAGATTATGGAGAAAGGTCATTCCTTGTCGTTTTGGGGAGGAGAGGGGGGTGGTCAGCTAGGCCTATTAGGGCTGCTTATGGTGTGGGGGTGTGGAGGTCCATTGGGAAGGGGTGGGATGAATTCTCCAAACACATTAGATTCAGAGTTCGGGATGGAAGATTTATCAGGTTTTGGGAGGATTCCTGGTGCGAAGATAGGCCTTTGGCTCTATTGTTTCCAAGATTGTTTAGGATTGCTGTTGACAAACATACTTTGGTTGCTGACTGCTACCGTCTTGATAGCGGGACGTTGTCTTGGGATGTGCGATTCAGGCGACCTTTTCAGGATTGGGAGTTGGATGATGTCACTGGCTTGTTGGCCCTTTTGTATAGACAGGAATTGGATGGCACTGGTGTGGATTCCTTGTTTTGGGTGCCTTCTTCTAATGGGATGTTCCAGGTCCGGTCATTCTTTGTGCGCCTCTCGGGGTTTCATGGGTTGCCCTTCCTGTGGAAGACGGTGTGGCTATCTAAGGCGCCCCTTAGGGTGGCCTTTTTTGTGTGGACTGCAGCTTGAAGTAAGATTCTGACTTTGGACAATTTATGGAAGAGAAGACATATCATTGTTAACCGGTGTTGTCTTTGCAAGTGCTTTGGGGAGTCCGTGGATCACCTTCTGCTGCATTGTCCTGTTGCTTATAAATGTTGGAGTCTTTTGCTTGGTTTATTTGGCATCCATTGGGTCATGCCTTAGACTTCTCGAGGATTGCTAGATATCTGGAGGGGCCAATGGGTGGGGGCTCAGGCTAGAGACTTCTGGAGGGTGACCCCTCTTTGCGTTTGGTGGAGTCTTTGGAAAGAGCGGAACGGAAGATCTTTTGATGGGAAGGAGTCCTCTATTGGAGAGCTGAAATTTTCTATTATTTTTACCCTTTTTTGTTGGGGTTGGGGGAGGGATTATTCTTCTTTAGAGGACATTGTGGACTTTTTGGGCTCTTTGAGTTCATAGATTCTTTTTGTGTATATCTCGGGACGCGTTCCCCTTTTGAACACTTTCTAATACATTTTACTTATATATAAAAAAAAAGAACAAAAAAAAAGACAAAGAGGCAACAATGAGTTTCCAATATCTGCATGTGCTCCCATAAGGCACCGAATCAACTTTCCTAGACTTTGCTCAACAATTTTAATTTTTCTTTCAGTTTAAGGACAAAATGCGGAGAAAATTTTCAAATTGGTGCCCAAAGATGTCCAAAGTGTTTTCCAAAAATAGCTTATATATTTAATGTCCCTATCGGAAAACAATAGAAGTGTGTGAGTCATTAATTCTAACAGCCTCCACATGATTATTTTAAATAGGATAATGTAGGATATTAGATTCAGGTGGTTGAGAATTAAACACATCTTCCGATGGAATCATGGAACATAGAAAACTTCTTTAGCCATTTCTTGGGGATTCCACGTCCGACGTTTGGATAATGTTATGATGGATAGTAGAAGTGATAGAAGAGATAAAGTTACTAATTAAAGCGTGAGGGAGAAATTAAGAGTGATGCCTGTTGGTAATAAAATAAGAAAAAGTAGACTTAAGTGGTATAGGAGAGAGAGCTTGTAGTTAAAAGAATACAAAAAGGGGATTCGTGTGGCCGGGCCCATTCAAATGGGAATAAGGCAAGGAAGATGAAAATGATGTATACATAGGCTATGTTTGGTACAGTGGAAAAGAATAGAAAGAATAACATTAGTTATAAGAGGAAAGAAAAGAAAATTATGAGAGAAATGAAAAGAAAGGAAATGAGATGATAGTGTTAATCACTTGTCGTGTTTGGTTGATTAATGAAGGAAATGAAAGGCAAGGATAGTAATCATGTTTGGGGAAAGAAAGGAAAAGAAACTATTTTAATGAATTTACTACTGTACCCTTTTCCATAGGTTCTGTCTTTTGTAAAAATAAGGGCAGATTTGGTATTAATAAAGTTTCATTAAAAATGCTAGCTTTTGAGGATAACAAACCAACTCATCAAGCTTTTATGTATCCCTTCAAATCCTTCCATTCCCTTTCATTTCCTTTCTTAATTTTGTACCAAACACAACGATATCCCTCCATTTCCTTTCTTTTATTTTCCATCCATTTCTTTCCAACCAAATTGGGCCATAGTCATTGAGCTTGTTGACACACTAGCAATGTTTTTTCGGTGAATAACACTCTGTCAATAATTTGTTTCTTGCTTCTGTCAACTTATTCAGTGTTATTTAAGCAGGTATTTGATACTCTAAGGACTACTATGTTCATATTAGGAATGATTTCTGTATTCATAGGCATTTCTTTGCTCGCACCAGATGAATCAAAAGGTACATTCTGGTCAAAAGAGATTTTCACTTACTCTAACAATGCAAAGTCAACTATAAAAATTGACCCTGAGTACTTTCAGGAGGTGAAGTCAAGGATAGCTCTTTAATTTCTGTTACATCTTCAAATGTCTCAACTGATGCGGACAGGTATATTTCATCTTTTGCTTTCTTCAAAATTCAGAACTTTGGAGAATTCATGGATAATTTTTGGGATAAAATTTTATATGTTCTTACCAAGTTTTGTAATGGGGAATATTTGATACAAACTAATGGTAACATAGCCAAACTACTTTCAATTTTATTCTGCTTTTAACCTTGATCTTGCAAAATTGAATTAATAAAGAGAACATGGTTAAATGTTTTTTGCTATTACATATCATGGTGCATTCTAGTATCAATATAATTTTCTTCGTCTTCTTTTTCATCTTCTTCTTTTGTTCTTATTTTTTTTACAGGCTGCTCATGCCTTCTGAAGATGCACAAATTAAAGACATGAGATCACTTGGGCGAGCAATGCTGGTGAAGGCTGCTGATATGGTCGTCAAGGCAAAGGTTCTGCTAATTGGCTGGTTTACTCTTCTTTTTTTCTGATGGAAAATGTGCTATTGTAGTTACTTATGCATGACTTGATTTCTCTGCAGACTGCTTGTTCACTATCACTAGGTCTGGGAGAAGATTCAATTCATGCATCTTCAGTTCTTGTGATGCCCATGGTTTCCTCCAAGATTACAGGTTTTAGAGGAAGTGGGTTTGATCGGGCGAGGTTCTTCTCCCTGAGAAATCCCGGTTGGAGTAAAATCTCGGTGGAGGATGATGGTGCCGAAGTGCTGGAGACAACAACAATGCTTTCCCAGGGCATCAAGTAGGGCTTGCAATACGAATGAAACTGTAATATCTGGATGAGTGTCTTTTTATCTTCTCTGCTATCTAGTAACAAAATTGTTGACCGCACTGCACTTTGTTTTTTCTTCCATTATTTATTAAGCCTTGTGGGTCGGGGTTGGGGTTGTTTGGGGTGGGGGTGGGTAGGTGTTGTACATCTCGGTCATACTGAAAAGGAAAAGGCTATACATTCATATGTTGGTACAGTAGACATTCATTATTGGCTCACTCTTCATTGAATCATATAGCACTGGACTGCTATTAACGATTATATGCAAACCCTAGAATAATTCAGGATGGGCATAATTAGCATAATTCAACTACATTAAACTACATGACAATTAGCATAATTCAGGATGGGCATGCCTGTGTGAATGCATCCATCATCCAAGCCTGAATTCTTGGCATTATGTTTGTGTGTCCCCAGAACAGAAATTATACTCAACAGACATCTACGTAGGGTAAAGATCATCCAAATGCGTATAATTGTGTGTGGAGTTTTGTTTTTGGGCAAATGCTTTCACATATAAGAAGGAAAAACTCACTTGGTCGGCTATAGACCTACAAGTGTTTGTGTCAAACTGCTTGCTGTTGTTTTTAAAAATTCATTGATACTGCGCGCCGCCCCACCCCTCCCCAAAAAAAAAAAAAAAAAAAAACAAAAAACAATTGAATTTAAACTAGATGGCAATTATGTGTGTGTGAGAACCCCCAGAACAGAAATTCTATTCCACACATGTCTATAGGGGCAAATTCCATAGATTAAAGATCATCCAAATACGTAATTGTGTGTGGAGTTTTACTTTTGGGCAAATGTTTTCACATGTAAGAAGGAAAAACTCAACCAGTCGGTGATATGACCTAAGAGTGTTTGTGTCAAATTATCTACTCATTGTTGTTTTAAAAAAAATTCATTGATACTCTCCTATATTGGATTTTCCTTTGGCGTTGTTTTACTTCGGCGTGGAAGTGGTGTCATTTCTTCGGTTGTAACAACCGGGTTCAGTTCTTCCCGGTGGGCAAAAGATTTCACATATAAGAAGGAAAAACTCACTCGGTAGGTCATATTTTCTACTCACCATTGTTTTAAACAAATTCGTTGATACTCTTTTACAACGGATTTTCCTTTGGCGTTGTTTAACTTTGGTGTGGAAGTGGTGTCATTTCTTCGACTGTAACAATCGGGTTCAGTTCGTCCCCCCTGAGAAATCTCGGTTGGAGTAAAATCTCGGTGGAGGATGATGGTGCAGAAGTGCTGGAGACAACAACAATGCTTTCCCAGAGCATCAAGTAAGGCTTGCAATACGAATGAAACTATAAAGCTGGATGAGTGTCCTTTTATCTTCTCTGCTATCAAGTAACAAAATTGTTGACCGCACTGCACTTTGTTTTTTCTTCTATTATTTATTAAGCCTTGTGGGTCGGGGTTGGGGTTGTTTGGGGTGGGGGTGGGCAGGTGTTGTACATCTCAGTCATACTGAAAAGGAAAAGGCTATACATTCATGTTGGTACATTAGACATTCATTATTGGCTCACTCTTTATTGAATTATATTGCACTGGAGTGTTATTAACGATTATACAAACCCAGAATAGACAATTTAATGATTTAGATTTAAACTACATGACAATTATGTTTGTGTGTCCCCAGAACAAAAATTATACTCCACAGACATCTATGGGGCAAATTACGTAGAGTAAAGATCATCCAAATGCGTATAATTGTGTGTGGAGTTTTACTTTTGGGCAAATGCTTTCACATATAAGAAGGAAAAACTCACTTGGTCGGCCATAGACCTACAAGTGTTTTTGTCAAACTACTTGCTGTTGTTTTTAAAAATTCATTGATACTGCGTGCCACCCCACCCCTCCCAAAAAAAAAAAAAAAAAAAAAAAAAAAAAAAAGACAATTGAATGATTTAAACTAGATGACAATTATGTGTGTGTGAGAACCCCCAGAATAGAAATTCTATTCCACAGATGTCTATGGGGGCAAATTCCATAGATTAAAGACCATCCAAATACGTAATTGTGTGTGGAGTTTTACTTTTGGGCAAATGTATTCACATATAAGAAGGAAAAACTCAACCAGTCGGTAATAAGACCTAAGAGTGTTTGTGTCAAATTTTCTACTCACTGTTGTTTTTTTAAAAAAATCATTGATACTCTTCTACATTGGATTTTCCTTTGGTGTTGTTTAACTTCGGCGTGGAAGTGGTGTCGTTTCTTCAGTTGTAACAACAGGGTTCAGTTCTTCCCGGTGGGCAAGTACTTTCACATATAAGAAGGAAAAACTCACTAGGTCGGTCATAGACCTACGAGTGTTTGTGTCAAATTTTCTACTCGCCGTTGTTTTAAACAAATTCGTTGATATTCTTCTACAACGGATTTTCCTTTAGCATTGTTTAACTTCGGTGTGGAAGTGGTGTCGTTTCTTCGACAGTAACAATCGGGTTCAGTTCGCCCCCCCTTACCTTCTCTTCATTGCATCCAAGAATCTTATTCAAGCTTTCTTGGCCAACAAAGTGATTATCATTGTGCCTGACAACCCTGTGTCGGACAGCCTAAACAGGAGGGTCGGTCGATTGACGGTGTTGGTTAGCTGGATGAAACAATGGATTTGAAAACCCAACTCTTTGTCTACGATCAATTTGCACTATCGGTCGGCTAATCTTCCTCACCAGCCGGCCAATAAGCCCTGGGAGGTGAAAAACGATGCAGGTTTTTGGTTTCTAAGGTCCTATACCCAACGGGGCTCATTTGTGAGCTTAAACAAGATGTAAACTTGTCTCAACCACACTTATGTAATCAAATACGACCACCATTTGGCATTCATGCATTCACGTAAACATTAAACGAGTTCAATACATCACATGTGATAAAAATGATCCGGTTACATCATTTAAGGGCAAAACAAGTTCTATTACTCTATTACGTACAAGTTCGGAACAAAATAGACACATGAATAATACATTTGTCCAAAAGTCAAATTTACAAGTCTTAATAGACGAGGCATGACGTAGACAAAAGAAAATCCTTAATGTCATCACATTTGAGGTGGTAGATCGCCCATAACTTCTTTCCCAGTCCCTGGAAATAATAATAAAGGGGTGAGCACAAAGGGTCAGTAGGAATTGCTTAAAACGCACTCCTTAATGATCTCGTGAATCCAAACAAAGAATAGCAAATAGAGGGGGGATCATGCTTATTTTAGGAAAATAAATCAACATACTCCTCCACATACAATCCAAGCATAATAAGTGCAATGCCCATGCATTAAAATGTCGCTCCCCATTTCCAAAACCTTTTTCAATCGCAACAATTTTCAAACCGTTAATACAACCTGGCCTGTGGCAACTCCACGACGCCACGAGAGAATGATTACCTAACTATCCCTGACCTAAGGCAATTCATTAGCATCATTTGGGGCCTAGATAGCTCAACCACATTAGAGCAGTCTCCCTAGTTCTCTCTAGGTCCCATTAACACCACGAACACAAGGCAATTCCTTTTCGTTCAGTTTTCGTAAACACCTTTCCAAATCCTTTCTTTCCAAAACCTTTTTCCCCTAAATAATTTCTTTTATTTTCAAAATTCAATTTCCATTTTCTTGTCTAATGCCATGAATGAATGTTACATGCATTTCAATGCTATGAAATTTCATATATTCAAACTACAATCACATTTGCATGCTTTGGAAAGAAATTAACACTATAATCCTCATATCATCAACTATATAACATATCATATTAAACATGTAAAGCATGTATTCATTAAATTCAAGTATACATTTTTGTAGTAACTCAATTAAACAAGAAAAACAACACATTTACCACATAAGAAACACCCATCATGCTTTTCATAGAAAAACTCTCACACATAAACATAGTCTATAATTTTAACATGCTATATTCACAAGACATTTGAGATAACTAACAAGAACCAAAAGAATTGAGGTTCAGAGAACCCTACCTCAAAAGATGAGAAAAGTCCTAAAAATTCCCAAATTTCGAAAATCCTCAAGGTGGCCCAAATAGAAATCTGCTTCAATCACTTTGTAGCTCTCATCGAGCTCGTTAACTTTGTCTTCTATAACAAAGTCCAATTCCAAATAAAATAGATGAAATCCATTTTTCTTTTCTTCCTCTCGGTCGAAGCCTTCTCTTTCTCCCTCTTTCTAAACTTCTTTCTCTCTCTAAAATCAAGACTTAACCATGTGGTCATTTGTAGTTCCATGGTCAAGGGTGGGTCTCGCTTGATTCAAAATATATATATATATATATATACATGCATAAAATTTCATATATATACCTATATATGTACACACGCATGCAAAGACACTTATTTTCCATCTTTGATTTTGAGTATCTGTTATTTGCCACTTTTGGTGATCTGGGTTTTCAAGTTTGGGTCAATCTCACCTTAAACTCTAATTTATAGCACTTCCGCTCATGGAGCTTGTAGGCCTTCAATGATATATACATATATGTGATTCAGTAGCAGACTCTTTGTGATGTTTTACAATTTTCCATTTTTCTGGCATTTTATTTTTTATTTTTTGTGCCTCGTTTTGCGTGTCATGCATCGGTTAGCATGCGACGAGGATTCCAAAGGTGATTTTGAGTATTTCTTTGAGTTTAGGACTCTTAGAAATACATTTTTGGTCATTTTTGCATTTTTCATATTTTTTATCCGAAAGGTCCTGTGCGGGTCCCATGCCCGAATTTGCATATTGCGAAATTATTTTCTTGGCTTATTTAAATGTTTTTATACGTTATTTATATTATATGTGGGGTTACATTTGGTATTTGGCATGGTTATGGCATGTTGTGGTTTGAAGGTTAAAGGAGTATTTTAGTCTTTTGCTTGGTCAAGCCTTGACCACCCGCGTGGAGGACATTATATCAACTCCATTTCTATAGAATTCTCCACTCATTTCTAGCAGCTTCTTCCTTCTTCCTCCATTCTTTAACACCATTGAAACTTGTTTTTGAAGCTTGTTTTGGTCACTTTCTTGAGAGCTTTTGGCCATGCCATAAAAGGGAGAATTACTCCACTTGATGAGAGCTTTCTAGTGATATCAAAATAAATCCCATTTCTTCTCCTTGGATTTTCGAAATTTCCTTTAAAGGTGGGAATTGGTTGATGCTTCAAGAGGAAAACTTGTTCTTCTTGTCCTCTTCTTTTCATTGATGTCTTTAGGCCTTCCTTTGGTGGACATTAGCTCTTATTGGAGGTTAAGATTTGAGGTTCTAAAAGGTAGGGATGTCTAATTTGCATAGTCCTTTAAATTAGTAGTTGAATTTATGTTTTACCCTACTTCTTAGATGCTAAGTTGAGACTAATTTGGTAGTGACTTGTTAGTGTTGAATTATGTGATGAACTATGCAAATAGACTACTTGATATGCACTAAATTGAGACTTTGTAAGTTAAATGGAAATTCTATGTATATAACATACTATGTGTTCCAAGTATTGTAATGTTTTCAACATGATTACTTCATTGTCAAATTCTGCCATTGGTTTGTGGTTTATGTATAAATGTAATGAAGTTAGAATTGCAAATGGTGAATTGTTAAAAGAAGGCTATATTAAAGCATGTTATACATATTTGTAAGCTTGACATTGCATTGTCATGAGCATTGGGTATGTTGTGAGGTGAATTTGAGAA